ACGGTTATAAAAACTCACATGGGGTATTAATACATCTCGGTTTACGGGGCTGTAAAACGCCTTAGTGATTATATATACTTATAGAAATCTACTTATACTAATTCAAGTATGGAAAACACTTATGCATTCAGTCTTTGGAACCTTTTCAAACTACCACACATATATGGAAAATATTGGATTTTCTAGGAACAAACTCGGTTATTTTACACCAAAAAGGATTATATTCTTAAACAAAAACGCTTATGAACTCACCAACTTTATTGTTGACACTTTTTCAAAACTACTTGTATTTCTCAGGGATTCAGTAATACAGGTAGAGAAGGGACGCTAAGTCGTCAGTCTAAAAACTTATTAACTCATCATATTGTAATTTATTTTGAGACATGTATTGTATTCAACAATGTAACTTTTAAATTATGTTTATGATGGTTGTGTTTACTTTCTTTACAAATATTCAACTGTTATGATACTACGTGAAGTCATCCACCCCCGAATGTTTCCGCCATTATGGTTTGGGGGTGTGACATGCAATTTCATGAATTAGCACCAAATTCACATTTTTCCTAAGTAACTAAGATTTGGGAATTTATAAAACATTTAGTTACTTGTATTTCATTATACTTATTAATTTGTATCCTATCTTCCCCGTTTTGCTAACGTCCTCCACTGGTCAAGGGTGCGGTGGGTAAGAGTGGATACCCAATGGCGGTCATTTTACAGGCCGCTTCCTTCTCCTTATAGACCAGCTTCGTGAATGAGGCTACTAACGGTAAGACTGACTTTTAACCTATACATATATAATATATTAGACTTTTAATGTTATATAGTATAAGGGTGTATTTTACACATTTAAAAATACTAAGTGGTTTAATCTATTAATAAATTAGACTTTTAATTTAATTAAACTTAAACCATGTCATTATGGATTTATTAATTCTCTCTTTTAATTAAACACTTACTTAATTTTAATAAAGCCATAAGAGTTGAATTTTAGACTTTTAAAATTCTAGAGTGTAGAATTAAAGTTTCATAAGTGAGACTTTTTCAAGTTCCAAAACTTGAGGACAAGTTTTGTAACTATTCAAAACCTTTTGAATTCCATAACTTAAGGAGTTAATGTTTCATGAATGAGACTTTTCAAATTTCATAACTTGAGGGCAAATTATGAAACTCTTCAAGACTTTTGGATTCCAAACTTGATGGCAAGTTTTGTAACTCCTTAAAAAAAACTTTTGAGTTCCAAAACTTGATGGCAAGTTTTGTAACTCTTCAAAAACATTTAGATCAAATTTTAAACTAATAAAATAATCATATATCTTTATCTTTTACCAATTTGACCTAATGCAACTTATATAACAAGACAATTCAAATCAAATAATACAAATAAATAGTTTATCATATAACTTAGTAATTATTTTATAATTTGACAATTTATATTTTAATTGGATGAGGATAATCACCACCATATCAGAAAAACTAGATTTTATGATACAAAACAGTTTAAGACAATGATCTTAATTCAATTCTGGCCAAAAAAAACTCGAAAATCTGCCAACAGACTGTCCAACTCGTCAATTCAGACAATGGACTCATCAAGTTCATCATGAACTCGTCGAGTTCATAAGTGGACTCATCGAGTTTACCCTGGCAGAAAGCAGATTTCCATTTTCTTCAGCTTTGAACAATTAACCAATGCATCAATATAACAGAAAACACTCATGGCTCTGATACCACTGTTGGGTTTTATGTACTATAACATTCCTATGGTGCACATACAACCCTAATGCTTTGGATCTAAGTTTTCTCTAGTTATACATGTAATTTTTCATTTTCCAAAGCTTGAAGCCTAACAAGCATACAACATTGATATTTTAAACATAAAACAAGTTAGATGATTACCTCTTTGTTGTAGCTTGTAGAACTTGGCCTTTCAAGAGCTTATCACCTCAAGTGTGATGCCTCAAATGGTTCACAAAACACCACCAACAATTGGAGGACAATGAGAGAGAGGCTAGGAACCACCAAAATCGTCTATGTCCTTCATAAAATACTAGTGTCAATTTTAGGGTTGAAGGGGTTACATATATAGTCTAGAATTCCAAGGGTCACTTGTAAACCCTAATGCATACACTTAGGCTTTTAATCCAATAACACTTCATGGACTCCATATAAACTTAGTTTATTACTAATCAATTATGGATCACTAGCCCAAACTATATGTATCATTGATTTACATAATCAGCCCCTATTAATTTAATTAGTCTCTTTTGATCACTAAATTAATTCCAAATTAATTCTTGATCAATACCAATTAAATAATATGATTTCTCAATTAATATATTATTCTTATAATATATTAATAAATCACAAATAACCTCTTTCTCAAATATCCTTCCTATCAAATTGCTCCGGTGAATGCAACCCAAAATGGACCATGCTACTCTCGGGTCAAGTGCATACTAATTATAGTTATGAGCTTAGACACCTAATCCAACATGATATTCATAAAGTTTCCAACTTTGTGACTTTGCATGCCTATTAAGTGCTTAATACACAAAATCCCAACTTCTTAACATCTTAAGACCTTCTAGAGCATGCATGGGCAAGAACTAAGCAACAAGATCACATTTTTATGACTCAAGACCCCTCATTGGGTCTGAAAGGATAACTTATTTGATCAAGAGCATTCCATGCTCAAGAATCACAAAGGGTGGGACCACAATGCCCAAAATGGAGGGATATCCAGATCTAAATGAAAGGATGATCAAGCTAGGAACTTTTTACCTCCTGGAGTTTGCTAGCAAGTAGGGAATCCAAGATCCAAGCTTCTTCCAAGCTCCAAAGTCCTTTTACCATCTTCTTCTTCTTCAAGAACACCACCAAAACACACAAATGAGCTCAAAATGCACTCTTCTCACTTAGGATTAGCTAGAGGGACGATCCTTGGATGGAGGCTGATTAGGGTGAAAGTCTTGGGGCCATAAAGATGTTTAAATAGGGTCCAAACCCTAAATTTTAGGGTTTGAAACCCTCGCACGTACACCCAACGTACAAGGCCCCATGCATGTACGCCTTGCGTACGAAGCGTACGCCCAACGTACTAAGTCTTCGACCAAAATTACCAAAATGCCACTATGGGCCATTTTGCAATCCTCCTTATGCACAAGGGCCAAAATGCAATATTCTTCACATATAGGGTTTAATTCGAAGTTACCTCATCATCGGGATGTTATACTGGGTTTGTTCTTGAGTTCTCCCCTAAAAATCATTACCAGATCTGAAGCCTCATCAAGAGCTCAAGAACACACACATACACTCACATTCAAGAACACATTCATGAACCCCATATCTGATGAACGTGCACACACATACATACGAAATCAGATCTGATGAACACACACACACACGAAATCACATTTGATGAGCACACACAAAGTCAACTCTAATGAACACACAGAGTCGGTCCAAACGTATATGGGGCCCGGGGCAAAAAGAAAAAAAAAGGGCCCCTTACAGACAAGTATAATAAAGATTAAAAAAATATATCATTTATTCTTCACTATAAACACGTTTAATTAGCAATAATAAACAAGCCAAATTGTTTATCTTTTGAGCTAGTTTGAGTATGAACCAACTTTAGGCCTTAAAAATCATTTAGGTAATATTTTTTTTATATATATACACTACATAGCCCAGAAATTTTGGGCCCCAGGAGACGTGGGCCCTGGACGGTCGCTTGGGTTGCCCACCGTCTGGACCGGCCCTGTGAACACACACATACACACACTAAATCAGATCTGATGAACACACACACATACACACGAAATCAAATCTAATGAACACGCACACACACAAAATCAGATCTAATGAAGGGTTTTCAGATCGAATTCAGGGGTTCTCGGGTTCACGTTTCCGATCTCCTCCTCAGACAACAATCTCCTCCTCAGTCGACGAGCTCCTCCTCAGTCGACATAGCCACTTGTTAAAGCAAGCCTTAGCATTGCTGCCCGTTAATGCAAAGCCCTCAACGTCAACATTCCAGATTTGGCGCCGCTGCAAACCCTAGCAACTCGAAACTACCTTTGCTCTGATCTACAACTCGATGAATATGACGGTGGATCAGAAGGCTTCAGAATCGTCCTCGCCAACAGTGGTCGAACTTGTGGTCAGAGGAGCTGTGGTTAGACCTAAGCTCAACGACATGGATTAATTATTTAGCGATCATCAAGAAATCGAGAATAGGAGGGAGAAGCTTTGGTCGATTGCTACCTCACAAATTTCCAAATTTGATGTCCAATTTTGATGTTTACCGGATCCCATTTGTGATATGTTTGATTGTTCGATTAGTAGAAAAAAAAAAAGACAGGTTCGGTTTGGGGAGAGAGAGAGAGAGATTTAATTGTTGTAAAGAAAATAAAAAAATCAAATTAAAAGAGCAAATTTGTCATTTTAAATATTTTCAAATAACTTTTGACCAAATTTACAACAAATAAAACTTTTTGGACCAGTGGTGCAACTCCAAAATATTTTGGATCAAACATTTAATTTTTGACATACCAGAGGACCAAACTTGTAATTTTGTCTTTAAATTATATACAAAAGCGTATGGTCATAGATTCATATTTTTTTAATTATATACAAAATCGTATGGTGATGGATTTAAAATTTCTATTATGGGTGTCAAATTTAGATTTTCCAAATTCAGTATAATATCAAAGAGTACGTCATACCTCATTTCCTTCATATGTCTACAAAAACTGAACATTACTTTCACCAAGGTCTCAATCGCAATATTATCACAACCAGAAAAAGTAATAATATCTATTTTCCCATGATAAGTAATAAGACTATACATAAGAAAAGGTGCAGAGAATCCATTGAAATATATGACATTGCTTGTTTTTAAATCAAAGTCATTGTGATTTCAAGTATTGTTGTTACACTACAAAAGGGAAAGAAAACGTTCACGTCAACCTTCCTATACATTCTCACCTTCTACACTGTTGTTTTCTTTAGGCATCACTTCCCTACCCTCACCTGATCTCGACAGATCCTTCTCAACTAAACCTCCATTTCCACACCAAATCTATCATATCATCTTCTTCGCACCCCACCTTCATTCCCCATTATTCTTTCTTCCCGTTGGACCAAAACTTCAACAAATTTTCGAGGTTTTGAAGTATCAAAAAATGGCAGCCAAGTCCGACTTTGCACAGAAGTTGCTGCATGATCTACGACTCAGGAAAGAACGAATGGGTGTGTCTCAGAGCTCGGCTCGACCCAACGCTACAACCAGAGGTACCATAATACATTTTTCTTGTTATCTCGATAGTCAAACTTTGCACTTTTTGTATTTTGGTTTTCGATGAATTTTCTTGGTTATCTTTAATATAAAAACTAGCATTATGATATTTGTTTTATGTTATAAGTGGGTTTTGAATTATTTTTGCAAAAGTAAAGTACATCTCTCTAATTTAGAAGTTAAAAGATGGGCATGTTGATACTAAAAAGTCAAACTTAAGCTAGATCAAGATTCCTGTTCATCTTCTTGAAGCGATTCCAAGACACTTTGCACACGTGACTCAACTACAAATATTAACTGTCCTACATGTGTCCCAACCGTGACAAAGTGAGGGTCTAGAAGCAAGATTTTATAATCAATTTTCTTTTGAAATATTATATTTTTCTTTTTATAGTAATCGTAGAATTACTCCAAAAAATACACTTTATCGTTAAATTGTAAAGAACAAGTTCTAGTAATTTCAATAATTAATAAACATATGATAAATTATCTAACAAATCACGTGATAAAAAGAATGAGTGAAATAGGCATAACTATGGATCAAATTGGTAAAACTATCAATATCATCGTTAATGTTGTTGATATCATCATTGTTGATATTAATGTTTACATAAACTTATAGAATTGTCATAAAAATGACATCATGTAACAAAAACGATATATATATATATATATATATATTCTTTTTTGTTACATGATGTCATTTTTATGACAATTCTATAAGTTTATGTAAACATTAATATCAATAATGATGATATCAACAACATTAACGATGATATTGATAGTTTTACCAATTTGATCCATAGCTATGCCTATTTCACTCATACTTTTTATCACGTGATTTATTAGATAATTTATCATACGTTTATTAATTATTGAAATTACTAGAACTTGTTTTTTAAACGAAACTTTTTGTCCAAGTGTCACTTCCACTAAGCATTTTACATCAAAGTGAATTTTCAGTTATACCCCTCCATTAATATTCAATTCAATTTGGCTTTTTTGTTTATCTAAATTCGGCTTTTTTACATATATAGTCCCTCATTTAACATCTTAATTGACTTAAATGGTCATGTTTCATAGTTTTTCTAAAAAAAATTAGTTACAAGTTTACAATTAATTTAAATTTTTCACAACATAATGTTATAACCTAATGGTTTTCCAATTAATTTACACAAGTACTATACCATATGTTAATATTTTCTTTATGCAACATATTCTATTAAATTATATTTTTTTGATTGATACTTAAGAAAATAAAAGTGTTGAACTCAAATTTAAAAATTAAATAAACACGTCTTAATCATTTATTTGTTTTATATTTAATATACATTTATATATATAATTATTTACAAAATAACTTTTTACTATCATGTTTTTAATAAACTACTTTAATAAAATTTTATAAATTTTTGATTTTCTATTATCATTTTTAATCATCAATATTATTTTTCTTTTTTACCCGTGATTTCCACGGGTTGTAACCTAGTATATATATAAAATAAAAATTGTACCTTTTGCAACGGCTGAGCCCCATGTTTAAAAGATATACGAGTCAATTGGTTGCATGTGCAATATGTATACTTTATGCCGACTTTATAGTACTGTATTAACTTATTTATTCATTAATTATATATAATTATCAACATTTAGCTATAAGATGTTTCAGTTTGATGTTTGGAAAATGAGTATATTACAGATACGAAATTGTAAAAACTGGGTTTTAAAGCCAACTAATTCAATTGTTCACTTTACATTTTTTATTCCTATTTAAAAACCAAGAAATACGTTTTCTGGACGATTTCGTCAAACATATCTGTTATCTTTGGCTTAACTCTTTTAACACCCATATTATTCCGAAAGTTCTAAATAACCGGAAAAGAAACTTGAAATGAAAACAACAATGTTGGTGAAAAAGCCATTGTGAAAACTAAACCTTAATTTGATATATATATATATATATATATATATATATATATATATATATATATATATATCAAAAATGTTTGGTGTAAAAAATAAGAAAAGGTGAAAAAAGGACCATTTTGTAATGAAACTTTTTTATGCGTCCACTGAAAAAATATGGCTATTTTTCGGGAATGATTAAGAAAATTGATTATTTTAGTTTATTTTAATTACATAAATTAAGTCAACCACATAATACATTTAGAATTATACCTTAAAATTTTCTCTTAATAAAAAATGATAATTTTATTTTAAATCAACAATCAAAATATCTACATTGACTATAAATAAATAAATCTTTGTTGACCTAAGTTTACATTATCTTTAAGCATTTTAGTAATATTGTGATGTTTGTCTTCACAAAAACTACCAATGATTGTATTATACAAAAAGCCCAACTACTTAGCCAATCTAGAAAAATGGATCGGGCCATATCTTGAATGTGCAGCCTGTTCAGAGCGTTAGCTACGGCAAATTGTTGAATCCATTTGTATAAATACATGGTTGTGTATGCATATATCTTCTTTATACTACCACCTGCAGATTTGGGATTCTGATTTCATTTTTGTTGATGAACAGATGCATATAGAAACCCAGGAAATGTGCAGAGAGGATCTAGACAAACAAAATCACTCGAATCTGTACGTTAACCTGTAAATCAATTGATCAAACTTGTTTTTGTAAACCCTTCAATCACTTATATATATCTTGGGTGTTCTTGCAGATTGGTGGACCAAAAATGGCGAACCAACAACAGATGTATGGAGGATCAGCCCGAGTCCCGGCCATCAAAGAATCATCCCAACAAATTGTTTCCTATTCCGGTGGCCGACACCATAGATCGGGATCCACCGGAGATTTTCCGGTGGCATTCACTTACGCCGTCAAAAATGGCGGAAAACTATTAAACGTGGATTTTTCAGGGTCTGGTAATGCTAACGCAATGATAGATTTCTTGCATCAGATTGGTCGAAGATCACTAGACGTTGGTAACACAGGAAAAGAGACAAGTCTTGTGAAACATCGTACCTCAAATGGTGGTGTCGTTGTGCCTGCACTCACCACTCCTCAAATCAAGGAGATTTCAAAAGGGGTTCAGAATCTTTACCAAATATTAAGATCAAGTTCTAATGGAGTGAACATGGATAAACATTCAATGGATGTTGGAAAAGAGTTGTTGAAAGGTGCTAAGGGTTTAGAAGAGTCTTTAAGGATGCTTGTGAACATGCAAGAAGCTTCAGAGTTGATGGTTCACCCACAACGAAAGAACCGAATCACTTTACTAGAAGTCGATCAGGACGATGAAAACGATAGTTCAAAGATCGTGGACCAAAATCAAGTTGCTTTGCCTCGGTTCTCTTTCGACAAGCCTTCTAAAAGGTCCAATTTTTTGGTTCAAACCGATGGTTTTTCTAAGTTATCAACTCATCGGAGGTCCACAAGCTATGGTGAGGAAAGCATAAGAAGTGTTTCTAATTCTACTACATCGAATGTGAAGAACAACTCAGAAAAAGGGAGGATCTCAAATGTGATCGCGAAACTAATGGGCCTAGATGAAGTTCCCAGAAAGATAGAGTCAGAATCCACTCATAATGAATTAAAAATACAAGTTAACAAGAGTTTGAAACCACCAAAACATGGTGTAGCGCCATTAAATGATCAAAAACCACAAGAAATCCACGACTCTGATAAAAGTGAGGCACCAAGACTTCCGAGGACTGTAAACACTGTGGCTATGAAACAAAGATCTGATCAACTTCCAGAAAAGAAAGATAGAGCACACAATGGTGAAACGAAAGAGAAGATACAACAAAAGCGTAGAAGTGCTGAAGTTGTAGCGAATTTGAGACAAGAAAGAGTGGAAAAGAAGAAAACGATTCGAATGGAGAAGAGTAACGAGATCAAACTCGTTCCAAGAAACAATCAAACAAAAGAACAAGAAAAAAGGACGTCCCAAAAAAGCAAACATGAGTTACAACAAATCAAACAAGTGAAGTCAAGGGATTTACCTTCAAAAGAGTCTCACATGCAACCTTCTGATGAACATAATCTAAAACCTAAAGATGCAACTCCAAAGGCACAAGAATCAAAACCAGAAAGAACAGAAAGCAACGTGAAAGAGAAGGTGGTGACACGAAAGAAGGTAGATTCAATGGTGTTACGTAGAACTGAAGCCCCTCTAAAAGACAAGGTCATGAAGAGAAGAAATGGAACCCGAACTCTCAAGAACTTAGGGACACCATCAAAGCATAGACTTTCTGTGTTGAAAGAAACCCAAAGAAAAGACGTGCAACAATTAGTTTCCATTTGTTTGAAACCAGAAGAAACCAACATCGAAATATCGAATCCCAAGAAACCGGAAGAAAAAATCCAAGTAAATGACAAGGTAAAGTTACATTCATTATTACTTCATCATTTTGTGGATCATATATTTATGAAACAAAAAATCTCTCAGGTACCAATATGCGAAGATAATATCAAGATTGCTCCTCAAGAAACCCAAGAAATCACAGTTACCATTAAGCATGAAGGTTCGAGCGATAGAAGGATAAAGACTCGTAATCTTTCGGAAAACAAACCTAAAAAAGCATTTCAATCGGGTACAGTTGCATTGACAGAAAACGAGAAGCAACTCAAGGAGATTCTGATAAAAGATCAACTTTTTTTAGGCACAACAGAAACCCTTTTCAATTTCAATATACCCGTTGGTTTTCTTCATGTCGATGATCATAACCATCGTAGTGAGGAAACTAAGTTGAAGTTAGATTGTGGGTACGAAATACTTAGACGAAAAGCAAGAAGCCAAGAATTGTCAACTCATCCGTATATGAAACCCTCCATTGGTGACACGACTATAAGGTTCTTGGATGAATTGGTTAAACAGTTGTATAAAGATTTTGAAAGCTTAAGATTATATGGAAGGAATACACACAATGAGTACGATGAAGCTAATTACTTGCATCATATGCTTGAGAGAGACATTTATAACAAAAACCCCGATACTAATAGTTTTTGGGATTTTGGTTGGCATACGATGACGTTTGCATTTGTGGAAAAAGATGAGTTTGTGAATGATGTGGAACGGGATGTGCTTCATAGACTCGTAGATGAGATGGTCGATGATTTGTTGAGCATCGCTTGACACAAGAAAGAAGCAAAAGTGATTGTCGATTGAATGATAATGGTTTATTTATTTGTATGATGAAGTGAGCTTGAAAGGGAAGAAAATATTATAATACGATGAAAGTTACTGGTGTAAATCTCTTCTTTCGATTATTTTTTTATATATTTTGCAATCTGTAATATGAGTTATCGATCGGTAAATATAGATAAATCTCCTTGAGTTTTCTTGTATACATTGTAATGAATTTATAAGTTTGTAAAGTTTTGTGTTGATATTTGATATACTATATACACAAAGTCTTTTGTGACAATCAATTTGTAAATGTAAAGTGAATTAGAAAGAATAGCTTTGAAGCCTTTTTGCTTCTTGTATATGTTTCAAATCTTATATGTATGGTATATTATACTCTGATTTAATATAAGAAGTCGAGGATGCAAATGATCAAATCCATAGAATTGAAACTCTCATCATATCTTAATTATAACTTATTATTGAATTTACCTATAGCAAGAGTACCCATTTAGGTAATGTCCCGATCAAAAAAAAAACATCCTATGTAATAAATAATGATATGTAATATACATTATCTAGTGGATTATCACATAAGTTAAGCTATTGAATTGTAAATCCCCTATCATATCTCCTAAGTAAAGCAAATGAATCATAATTATCATATCAACAATAACGAGTTCGATACACATACACATACACCCATAAGATGGAAGAACCATACGTGGCATGCATATTTCCTAAGACTAAAACATATTTTCAAACATTATAATAATATGGTCGTTTATAAAATATCAATTTACAAGCATACAAGAAAACATAAGTTGTACTGTAAAACAATTTACATAATTTCTGATCATTTATATCGGGCTTGAAATATTAACTTATAAATTTTCAAAAACATGATTATAAATTCTATAAATTCAAATACTATTAAATTTATTAACAAATAAAATATTTACCGTACAATTAGTTAGGCTATATTTGACACAATACAATTAACTTTTCTTTAGGATGTTTTTTAGGTTGTTATGTTTGATAATTTAAAAGTAGCTTATAAATTAGTTTTGAAAAAATGTTGCTCACATTGTTGTTTCAAAGAACAAGCTTAATAAGTTTTTCCAAATTTTTTTCAAAAATAAAAAATCTCTCATATATACTCGTTGTAAACAAAACTTAGTAGGGACATCATTATTGTTGATCATCTTTTGAATATTACATACTCTTATTCTTAATATGTATTTTTTTAAAGATTAATATAGCTTAAAATTGTCATCATTTTTTAATAGTAATCTACTCTTCAATTTTTGTAACGTAGTTAAGCTTCAAAAGTCATTTCTCCTTTCTTTTCCGAAACTCAAATAGAAAACTCTCCCCATGGGACCAGAATTCTCTACTAGAGGGACTGAAAAGATCGAGAGTAATTTCTGAGTCTTGATGGACTAATCAGTATTGGTAAGACAGGTACGTAGACGCACAAGAGAGGTTTTCCCGCCAGGCGCTGTTAAGCCCTTCACCTCCTTGAAGCCCCCGTATGAATGACCAACTTTATCGATAGGCTTCCCTTATACTTAAGGACTTGAATAATCACCTATATAGTTGAAAAATATAACTTAGTTATTCATATTAATTAAATTAGTATTTTAAAAACGATAATTAGATAAAATCAAATGAACGTATGAAATCTTATATGTGTGCAACGTTTGCCTATGGATTGGTTTTAGATAATGTTCTACTACAACATTATTATATTTTAAAGTGTCTTAAAGTTAAAATAACTAGGCATTCACAAATAATGGTCTACTATTAAATACTTTCGGACGCCATACATAATACATGCGTTGGCAGAAAATTGGGCCAAACGTTATATAAATAATAAATTTTTGTCATAATATATTCCGGAATAACTTAATATTAATATATTATCTTATAGAACAACTATCAACAATTCCATTGTCGTCCAGCGGTTAGGATATCTGGCTTTCACCCAGGAGACCCGGGTTCGATTCCCGGCAATGGAACCTTTTTAACTGAAGTCAGTAATTATTTGTTTTTTCTGAAATTCTGATAAATTCAGTTCGATTGAATTTTAATGAGAACTTGTTTGTATACTCATAATCATATATACCCTATGCAATTAATACTTAGAAAGTCGACTATAACTTAACTGAGGGAATGTAATTAACCTGGTATGGAATTTCAATAGAATAACACATGCTTCATCTTATGGTTAGGTTCTATAGTTTGAATCTTTATTAAAAAAAAGACAAAAGAATCTTTATTCAAAATCAACACCTCGTATTTAGAAATCCTTTCTGTTCATATTTAAGGACAGAAAAAGGTGAGAATACATATCCAAGTGCTAACTTTCTGCACCAAATTCTTCATTCTTCCTTATGAGTTATTTATTTCGTAGGCATCATCCTAAGAGTCAGCATTTCATATTGTAAATTAACAAGGAACACAATAGAAAATTGATATTAAGGTGGAATAAACATTAGTCTATATATATATATATATATATATATATATATATATATATATATATATATATATATATATATATATATATATATATATATATATATATATATATATATATATATATATCACCCAGATCGAGCTCTTTTTGTTTCGATCATGTATGAGTATTGCCAAACTTTAATTTGGTCTCAGAATGTGTATTGATGACATTGTGATTTGTGGGTGTCATTTCTTTCGGTACATTTAATGACGGTTTGTTTCATTACCATCAGGTTTTGTGGTTTGGGGCTATACTCAGTGGTAAAGCGTTCCTCTTATGCTTTTGTGGCCTCATGAACTCAATCGTGGGTGTACAAGACTATATCTTACGAGATAGCGGCATATGAGGTATGAATTCTGATTGTGTTTGTGTTTTAGCCTGTCTTCGTGATACGATTCCGAGATTTGACTTCAACAGTTTCGCTAATAAGGACATTGCCGCTCTTAAAGCCCAACGTTCATTTGCGAGTTCCCTTTTTGGTAAAATTGTTAAAGACATGGAAGTTCATTTCGACATGACTATTAGGCAGAAAATAATTTTTGAGTGTCTAAGGGCACCACATGGCACATGCTAAGGATTTTCTTATGACTATTCATATTGACGGTCTTGACCAACATATGTCGTCAATGGAGTATCATGATATCCTCAAGTTTGTCTTCTAATCCCTTTATTTCTGATTGATGAGGTATGCATTGCTTGTCTTAAGACATGTTTGGACTCCTTTGGGGAGCATGCATTTCATTGTAGAAAGCACTCGGGTTTTAAGTACCGAAACGATCTTGTTAGGGATGTTTTTTTCGACATATTTTGGCACGTCGGGGTTTCTACCAAGAAATAGACATTTGTGAACTTTTTGACTGACCTAGTGAAAGGAATATCAACACTTAGACCAGCTGACGTTTTAGTTTTTGGATGGGACAGAGGGAAGCACGCATGTGTGGATCTAACATCAATTTTTCCCTCTTGTGAGCTTGGAAAGTGGTGTTTTCACTGTAGGGCGAGCTGCTTTAAAATCTGTCTCATGTAAAGTGGCAAAACATGAGAAAACATACATTGAAAATCAACACGCACTTTTGCGTTTCCTTGCGTCAGATGATGTGGAGCTCCTCAATAAAGTCCAATGAGTCATGCATAGTAATGTTATGACCCCAAGATCTATGGATGTTATTTTTAAAATAATTAGTTTGACATCCAAAAAGAGTTAGTACCGCAACTTGTTGTCCGTTACTCGCTACGTCTATGTAACGCTTTTATGATTTAACAATATAAATGCTTTGTACAAATAACAATCAGAAATCAACACATTGTTTCCATCTGAGACGATAAACGCTCACTATCGGTCTATCGCTCTTAGCTACACAAGTTTGACCTAAAGCTTGAGGTTGTTTTCATTTTGCTATGACTTTCTTGTTATGAAACTTGAAACAAATGTCAAATAAACTCCCCTCCATCTTCTGGTAGTTGCAAAATTTGCTTTTGCCCTTAGACTTTGTTCTAGTCATAAAGGAAAGTCATGCATATTATGCCACGTGTATCAATTAGGCAAACACGCCAAAGTCCCCTAAGTCAGACACTTTTTCTAGGTTTCTTCATTTTTCATGTTAAATCTAAACTCGATTTGGTGATGAAACCAATGCCATTTTAGTATGACCACAAGGAAGAGTTCAACAACTATTCCGTGCATGACCTTTTTTACATAAACGATATCTAAACCCACTTTCTCTGAACATGTACATCCCAACAAAATAGAAATTTTGATAAGCAATCTCCTACCTTTTACATGTAATCGCTTCATATTGCCACTCCTTTATTAAAAAGTTTTTTGTAGGCTTCCAATAAAAAATACAAGTACGTGCATATTTACGGGTGCCTCTGCTATCCACATATATCCACATTTGTCACACCCATAAAATTCGTGCCAAATTTAAACTTTTAAAACATTGAAGATACCAATAATTATTACAAAAAGGTTTCCGAAATAATTTAATATCAGAGTTCCCAGAAATCATAATCATAAATCGAGGAAGTGTACGGTCACGCCTTCGCCTTCTCGCGGTCAGCCGCTGAACCTGAAACAATAATCGATAAATGTAAGCTCGAAGGCTTAGTGAGTTACCCCCAAAATACCAACCTCATATAACCATAACATATCATATATCCAATACAGAACAGCCATGCATATCGAGTCTACAGTGCGACTGGCCCGCCCACACCGGGCCTTCAGTCTACCTGGTCCACTCTCTGAGTCTACAGTATGACTGGACCGCCCGCACCGGGCCTTCAGTCTATCTGGTCCACTCTCCGAGCCTCGGCACGTCTGGTCCGCCCTCGCGGGGCCTTCAGCCTATCCGGACCGCTCGTCAAGCCTTCGGCCTGACTATGTGCCCTCCCGGGTCTGCAGTCTATCCGGTCCGCCCTGGGTATGTTGACCTACAGCACGAAGCAGGACCCGCCTCAACCCAACCCCCATACCAAACAATCATGCGCACATAAACAGATAATCACATAACAGTCCATAGACAAACAAATCGATCTAGCAGATCATATAGTATAGCAACAACCTAACCAGGATACCGACCTAACCGGTCACAAACGTAGCATCATCCTATATACCAGGATACCGACCTAAACCAGGTCACTAACATAATACCGTCCTAATAACA